CTCTTGTCCGCCAACTTTAGAAGATAGTCAGGAGGCGTGGAGCTCAGGGAGCATGGAAGTGCATCTGTGATTATAACCACTTGTACGTAAAAAAAAAAAAAGTGATAGAGAAAGTTAGGGAGAAAAGACAGAAGACATTAATAAAAGGTACATTATAGAAAAGAAAGAAAATCACCTACAATCCCACCAATCCATTTTTCAAGTTTTTTACTTTTGCACAGTGTCTCTTTAAGGATACGTGTATGGATACTTTTAAGTAGAAGAATATCTTAGTGCTGCTGAGGCCAGCATGTTTATGTTAAGGGTATTTCTCAATGGTTGAAGATTTCAGTTAGTAATTAAAGGAAGAAGGTAGGAAGGAAACTTATGTACTGCTGTTTATAGATGGGGAAGCGGGTCCAGAATTACTAAGCAGTGTGTTCAGCGCGGCCCAGCAGGTGAAGAGCAAAAAATCAAAACAAACAGACAAAACAAAACTCGAGTTTCCTGGTGACCAAGTTCCCCCCATGTACCACACTGTCAAGTCACCGTTCTCATGTTTTACTTTTTTTCTGTTGTTATTAGCTACCTTCGAGTCAGCTCCCAACTCATGGTGACCCCATGCACAATGGAACGCAACACTGCCTGGTCCTTCGCCATCCCCATGATCAATGATGGTTTGGACTGTTGTGATCCACAGGGTTTTCACTGGCTGAATTTTGGAAGTAGATCACTAGGCCTTTCTTCCTAGTCTTAGTCTGGAAGCTCTGCTGAAACCTGTTCAGCATCATAGCAACATGCAAGCCTCCACTGACAGATGGGTGATGGCTGTGCGCGAGGTGCGTTGGCCAGGAATCGAATCCAGGTCTCCCTCATGGAAGGTGAGAATTCTACCACTGAACCACCACCGCCCCCCTGCTTTTTTTCTAGCATTTCTTATTATCAGGCACCCATCCCATTTATTTTAACGAGTTTGTTCTCCCAACAACACAATGAGGTTTTTTCCTTTTATTATCCAAATTAAACAGCAATACAATAATCGATACTTACTGAGAAGTGCAAATCAGCACTCTGCACACATTATTTCTTCTACTTCTCACTAAACAACCCTAGAACCCTAGAAGGCTACTGTTAACTCCCGTCGCCCAGGGAAACGAACGCAGAGAAGGCAAGCTACTTGCTTGAGCACACACAGCTAGAAGAGGCAGAAGTGGGGTTTGAACTGGTACCCCAGGCGCCAGTGGCTGAGGCCCCAGCAATCCTGCTGCCAGCCCCTTGGTAGGGCAGATGGCTACGGAGGAGGGGGGGCATTGCCATCTTGAGCAGGCCAGCTTCAGGATTCTGGGGTGTTTATTGTTCCCGCGGCTTCTCTGTGCAACCATCAATGCAATGTTTGAAGGCGAGGGGCAGGTTGAACTTCAAAGATATTTATTGAGAAGGAGGTCCTCCCCTGAGGGGTTTGCCTTCTAAGCAGACAACAGATGCAACAGAAACCAGAGGGTGTCAGTGAGGGTGGCCAAGAGGCTGGTGGGTGGCCGGGAGCCTGCTGGGTCTCCTGTGTCAGGACCCAGACTCCCATGACAAGGCCTGGGGGTTGCTGGGGGCTGTTGTGGGTCCTCCCCCTGTGAGGCCCGGCAGATCGGGCACTGATTGGACAGTACACATGCCCACCCTTCCTGCAGGCACCCAAGGGGGTCAGCTGCCAGGTGGGGCTTTGTGGGGCACAGCTGGCTGATCCCTGGCTGCTGGGGGGATCACAAGATATGCCCCCAAGTAAGTTTCTGTTGCCAGTGTTCCCAGATGAATTCCTGGAGTAAATTCTGTAGTCCACACCAGGAGGCTGCAGGGCCAGTGATAAGAGAATGGACTTGGGGCCGTGTGGACTCAAATCCCAGTTCACAGCACCTAGTGTTTGCTGGTACTTTCTACGTGCCAAGCACTTTTCGTGCCCAATTTTGTCTGATCTTTGTAACAACTCCATGAGTTGGAGACTGTCACTACCCTACTTTACAGGTGAGCAAACTGAGGCTCAGAAGGGTCAAGTGACTTTACCACGTGGCAAGGTGGGGCCTGACCTCATGCAGTCTGATCCCGGAGCCTGGGTGTTAACCACTGATATTTAACCCCTGGTGTATCAGCACGATCATCACCTGTCTGTCAGTTTGTCATACTGTGGTGTCTTCCGTGTTATGGTGATGCTAGAAACTATGCCACCGGTATTGCAAATGCCAGTAGGATCACCCATGGTGGACAAGTTTCAGTGGAGCTTCCAGATTAAGACAGAATAGGAAGAAAGGCCTGGTAATCTACTCTGAAAAATTAGCCAATGAAAACCATATGGATCATAACAGAATACTGTCCAAGGTAGTGCTGGAAAACGAGCCCCTAGGTTGGAAGCACTCACAATACACAGAGGCCACAACAGTGGACTCAAATATACCAGCAATCATGAAGACGGTGCAGAACCAGGGAGCGTTTCGTTCTGTTGGGCATGGGGTGGCCGTGAGTCGGAGCCAACTCGTCGGCAACTACCAACAGTAACACATCAGCACAGAAGTGATAATCCATCACAACTCTGACTGTTGACGCCTGGTTGTGACTCCTGACACCACCGCTTTCCAGAGTGTTGTCTTCTGCAGTTTACTTGACCCCTCTCTGCCTCAGTTTCCTCATCTATAAAATGAAGCCAATCTTAGTACCTACCTTGTGGGGCTGTTGTGGGGTCAAATGAGCTTTTCTGTGCAAGGTGATGTTGTTGTTAGGTGCCATCAAGTCGGTTCCAACTCATAGTGACCCGTGTACAACAGAAGGAAACACTGCCCGGTCCTGCACCATCTCCACGGTCGTTGCCATATTTGAGCCCATTGTTGCAGCCACTGTGTCAATCGATCCGTTAGTTGTCCTCTTTTTTGCTGACCCTCTACTTTACCAAGCATGATGTCCTTCTCCAGGGACTGATCCCTCCTGATAACATGTCCAAAGTACGTGGGACGAAGTCTCGCCATCCTCGCTTCCAAGGAGCGTTCCGGCTGTACCTGGCACCTGGCAGCATGTCTCCAAGGCAAGCTGTTACTAATACCGTCACTGTTACGTGTTGCCTGCTGTGTCTGCCATACTCTGTCTGGGTGAGGTTTAGCTCCTCTTTATTTTCCTCTGTTTCTTCGTGTGTCAAATGTGCATATTGACAGTCAGCACGAGGCCGTGAGCGGGTGGGAGACAGCGTGTATAAAGCTGTCGTCTCAAGTCTAAGTGTCTGCAGAAATCTTGGAACTTGCATATTTTTCTTTCAGATATTCGCACTGTCTTCAGATGTGCTTCCTGGCCTTCACTCGGAGCACAGTTCTCCTTGTCAATAATCACACAACCAACATAAAATTCTGCGTATTAAATACCGTGGCACTGTGCATGGAGAAGAAGCTGTTTTATTAAGTGCCAGTACTTGGTGGTAGAATGCAGGGAAGAAACTAAGGGAAGCCTGGAGGCCCTCCTGTTATGAAGGAAAACAGAATTGCCCTTCTTTTAGACTGAAGCCTTTGAAAAACAAGGGAAGGGGGGAGGCTTAATAATTATTTTTTAAAATTATATTTGCTTACACTCAAGTGGTGACATAAGAACAAAAGGAACTGAATTCCCTTTCTGCCAGAGTTTAAGTTGGTGGCCGTTGTTTTCATAGGGCCCGAGGGAAAGTGGTTTTACATTTGTCCCTGTGGCCTTCGCAGCCCCAGAGAGGGGCTGCTGTGCCCCACAGTGGGAGAGCTGGGGCCAGGGTGGGAGCCCAGGCGTCCGGACAGACAGATGAATGGCTGTTCCTGCCACTGCTCAAGCAGATTTCCTCATTAACCCTCGGTCACCTCGAGAGCTGACCGATAAGTCCCAGAAAACTGAAGAGGGGGCCTGGACCGATGAAAATCACGTGGCTTTGCTAATTGGGGTCCTTTTCTCCCCTCCATTTGGCTCTGCTCTTGTGCTGAGCAGACGAGATAAGGAGGAGGCCAGGGCCTTCCAGACATGCCCGCCCAGCGGGCCGCGTGGGTCATTGCCCGGTGTCCGGCATAAGCAAGAAAAATGGTCTGTGGAACAGAGGGCTCGCTCTCCTAGGGAAACATCCACGTGGCACCGGTGGGAACCTGAAAGAGACTCTAAGCCCCTCCAAAGTCCAGCGAGGATGTCGCCTCGAACTAGGGTGTTTCTTTTGGGGGAAGATTCTCGTTCTTGAGCGACTGACCCGTTCATCAGAATTACGAAAGTCCTGGGGAGCAAGATGCTGTTTCTCCAAAACCACAATTCCTTTCAGAAAACAAAAGGAACATCCATTTGTAAGGACAAGGGAATGCTTTTATTTCCTGCTCGGAGATTACAAAGGTCAAACCGAGCAGTGTAAAACTGTGCCCTTCTTCCTTGTCCTTTCATCCAAAGGGCTTGGGAAAACAACTCACGGTACACCCTCGTTTGTTTTTTTGTTTGGTAACAATATCGAAAAAGGCCATTTGAATAATTTGTAAATTAAGGCAAGGGGATGCTTACTTTAAATTTTTAAAGCCCCACACAGCTAATGGTCCAAATCAAAAGTAATATGTAACATTGAAAATCAATATTTTTCCTCCTATCTAAATATAAAAAAGTAATAATCATGTTATGGTGACATCCAGGCTAAATCTTTTCCTTATAAGGTGTTTGACATAAATAGCTTTTATTATGTAACTCTTAAGTAGAGGGAATACACACATTTCTTAAAGTTCCCAGCTGCTATTGTTATCATTCGAGACATAAAATTGGAATCCCAACTTCCAATATCAAATTTTAGCATAAACCCTATAAAATGTATCTTGTCAGAATGTGCCAGAACTGCTAAGCTCTTTTCAGCTGAACAAATTGCAGCTGGTGCTTCATCCTTAAGGGGTTAGAATCAACTTTTGGGGCCCTCTGGGGTTAGGCAGCAAATTTGTCACGGTTTCCAGCCCGCTGGAGGGGCTGGCTAGGGAAGGCATGGGCTGGGATGGCGGTGGACGGAGCCCGGTAGACCTGCAGGGCCGGGTACAGGGCCTGGAGAGAGGGCCCAGCGGCAGGAATGCAGGGAATGTTTTTCTTCGGACTCTGTCGAGGCACACAGACCGTCGGGGTTCTGTCTGCAGTGACAGCCTTAACATTTGCCAGAGCCTCGGACGCTGCTATAGAAATGGCATTGCCCACCCTGAAAGTGAGAAGGTAACGTTTATTTTTGTATTTTTTTCTCTCTCTCCCATATACAGACTGTACCAAGACCACCAAGTGTGGGCCTTTTTTTTTTTTTTCCACTATGATGTACAATTCACATTTGTTAATCAAAAAAAAGTGCCTGAGGTCATCCACCTAGATTTTTTTTTTCTTCAACAGGAAACGGGTTTCAGATGTTTACATGTTAAAAAGTAAGGCTACTAATCTGTTTAGCCATTTACCAGGCCCTGGATAACTCTTTCTTACATTTTAATGTTCGTCCCTCATAGAGTGACATTAATTTTTATCCCTCTTGTTCCTTAGAATTAAAAACAAAAATCTTTCACTGGTCACCTGCTTTTCTGGGACAGCTCCAGCTGAGATTAGAATACACATAAACTCAGTAGTTTCGGTAAATCGTCTGTTAGCTGCATGGACGCTTCGTCTTGTGTTTGCGAATTCAACACTTTTAGGCGATTCTTTAAAATAGATGGTGGTCACAGCGTATATCTGTAATAGACAGATGGGCGTCTGTCGAGGCATCTTACATTCAGAATAGGGATCCACAAATGCACACATCTGATCAGTTCATAGCAAAGGCAAAACTCATCATTTTAAACATTGCAGTTCTTTCTTTTGATGGGCACGATATTTTGCACGGTTCTTCTCAATATGTGGCTCTGAGCGGTAACAGAACACAGCCACTTTTCCTGGGCGTCCGAGATCTCTCGTAAGGACTTCCATCCAGTGTTTGGAAATAAAAGTTTTTGTTTAATTGCTGGAATTTTTTTCCTCGCCTCAGGGCTGGTAGTTTTAAACAGACTCTGTTGGTGAGAATGTCTCCCTGTTTAGTATGGCAAGTCAGTGCTATTTTTCTGTGTTGAGGAAGTTTAGATATTTACGGCCCGGGGAGAAAAGAACACAAACAGGGGAGGTTTTGGTGCTTTTAAAGTGATTTTGTTAGTATTCAAATCATTGGCTTAAAAGACTGTTTTAAATGTAGAAGTCAAAGCAGAAGGAATTATATCATTTGCTAAAAGTGGATCCCAGAGCCCTACTCCTTACCTGCTGGGCTTGACCAAGTGCTTTGTGTCTGCAGATTGTGTGAAGGAAGCAAAAGGATTCCTTGTGGACATCTCGTCAAGAGGAGTGAGCCATGTACCACCCCCCCTTTATGTGAAATAGCCAGAACAGGCAAATGCATAGGGACCAAAGTTCATCAGTGATTACCAGGGGGTAGGGAAGGGGGAAGTGCTTAAGGGGTACAGCGTTTTTGTTAAGGATGATGAAAAAGTTTGGAAATGGATAGTGGTGATGGTTACACAACACAGTGAATGTAATTAATGCCACTGAAGTAAACATGTAAACATGGTTGAAATATTTTCTTATGTATATTGCACCACAATAAAAATTAAAAAAAAAAAAAGAAGTGAACCAGCCAAGTGGAAGTGAACTCTTAAAATCAGCACGATATTCTCTGGTCTGTGAACAAGTTATTTGTAAAGATGAAAACATAGAAAAAGAATCATTCTCTATTTCCCTACAAGCAC